AGCTCACTCTGCTCACGGACAAAGAAGGGGTGCTTACGTTATCCGCGTAGGGGTCGGCGAACGGCTCTGCTTCAAGATCGATGCTCTGTTGTGTCGCGTTTGTGTCAGGCCAAGTGTTGACATAAAACTGCCGCTTAAGCGGGGAAAGCGGGAAGAAGGGAGAACGAACCGCAGGTCCGCGAGTCCCCGAGAGGAACCAGCTGTTGGTGTGCTCCATCACCTTATCGAACAGGGTGTAGGCGTCGTGCTCAATGAAGCGAGACGAGTTGACCATCGAAACGATTTCCCCAGCGCTTGAGCTGAAGATCGCGGGGGGGAAGGGGGTAGAAACGCCAACCAAAAAAGCACAACAAACGGAAGGTGAGACAACGCCGCCAGAGGTGAACTCGATGCCACACAGTGGCCACGGTGCGAACCTTGCGGTTGTTTCAGCGTTGCTCAGCTGTTTCTCGTCCTCAGCGTTGACCGCTTCTCTGTGCAATACGTACAAAATTGGCGCCAGCAGTTCGTGCATGCCCTACAAAACACAACCCCAACACAACGCGCGCGTTAGCCTCCAACACCGAGAGAGGTGAGTGTGGGAAAGACTTGAACCTGCTTGTAGAGGATGTGCTCGTGCTCGCGGGCGTAGATGAAGAGGATCCGCAGCATCATTTCCTGCAGGTCCTTGTCCTTGAAGAAGCCGTTCTCGGGATACACCCTGCGAATGTCCAGCACGATCTGCTTCTTCAGCTCCGCGTCCTGGAAGTACTGCTGCCACGGGCTCTGTACGGGCGCGAGAAGAGAGAACACGGCGGACATTATTGAAGGCGCAAGCAAGGCCGGCGGGAAGGGACAGATATCTACCTCTTCGGCCTGGGAAAGCGGGTTGTTGATGGCGGGGTCCAGCTCCCGTCCCTCGGCGTGCGGATCGACCATGTATCGTTTGTGCAGCACGTCGTAGGCCGCTCGCTGCTCCTCGAGTTGTCCCTTCCACTCCGCCGGCTTGCTCCCGAGCAGACCCAGAAAGACCTGCACCACCCCACCCCATTATCGTTAGCAAGGCTCATTGGCGGGGTCACAGGCGAGTGGTGATGGGGGTGTGGAGCTACCTTCCAGCACAGGCCACGAATCTTGGTGTGTACCAGCTCGCGGTCCAATGCCTTCTGCGTGAGGTGAGGCACGTCCAGTTCGCGTTCCACCGATACCTGGCTCTTGCTTTCGTCGTTCTTCTCCTGCTTCTCGTTCTCCTCCTTGACTTCGGTGTCCACAGCTGGTTCCTGCTTCTTCTTCTCTTCGGTGTTGCTGGCATCGTTCTCGGTGTTCGCGTGTCCTTCGCCCTGCTGCGCGTCGGCCTCGCTTCGGCTCGCATCGCCTCCTGCACTCACGCTTTGGGTGCCATTGGCAGCAAGCTCTCCCCCGGCCGGCTTGTACACGAACGCCTCAAACTCTTCGCGCCTGTCGCGTGTCCACAGCGCACACGACACACGGGGCCGCAAGCAAGTCAGCACACGAACAATCTACAAATCTACTTATTTAAATAAATAAATAAAAACAATAACACACGTGTAAACATACATTTCGAGGGGAGTGGGCTTGGGGGGCTCCTCGTAGGGCGTTTCCACTTCCTCCTCTTCCTCCTGGGGTCGACTATTGTAGCCACGGCGGTTGTTGGGTTTCTTGGTCGATTGCTCGATGAGGCTGAGAAAGTCCTCCTCGCCCCCGCCGGTGAGGAAGAGCGAGGCCCTGGTCTGGGCCGGGCTGGCGGCCTCCTTCTTGAGCGTCTTGTCCTCGATGAGCTTCGACACATCAAAAATCGATTCGAACTCCAGGATGCGCTTCGGCTTCTTGGGTTCTTCGGGCACGCTGCCCAAGAGGAAGCTGAGTGGGTCATCGCCAGCTTCGACTTGTGTCTTCCTCACCTGCCGCTCCCTCTCCTTCTCCAGCTCCTCATCGAGCGTCGTATCGAGGCTGAAATCGAATGAACCGTCCGGTTTTTGCATCAGAGCGTTGTCCTATGATGGAAGGGGAGTGTGTTGGTGGTGCCACGAGCAGCGAACGCACAAAGCCTCAGGTCTTTCGTGTGTCGGGGCCAATCCCAACAACAATTCGGATCTCTCTTCTTGAAAGAAACAAAAGAGAAATTAATTTATCACACAAATTTCTTTTTTTTTACACCTTTGCCTTCTTCTCCTTGAGCTTCTTCTCCTTTTTCTCTAGCTTCTCCTTCTCCTTGAGCTCCTTCTTCTCCAACTTCTCACGCTTCTTCTGCTCCTTCTTCTCGAGCTTCTCCTTTTTCTTAAGCTCCTTGAGTTCCTGCTTGTCCACCTTCTTGGCCTTTCCCTCGTCCTGCATCGCTGGTGTTGGGCCAGCACCAGCCGAGCGGCCAAGCTCGCTCTCCCTTTCCTCTGCCTTCTGCACTTGGACTTCGTCGGCGGCGAACGTGCCCGAGGGTCCACTCTCCAGCGGCACCTTAAGGCTGACCCGGTTCGTTGTTGAGATGCCTGCCGCCGACCATCATCAGCATCAGCATCAAAGCACACCTAATTGGGGTGAAAGGGTGCAGGTACCGTCTCGTGTGGCGGTGGAGCCGGAGTTGGAGAGAGGCCCGGTTACGCTCTTGCGATGATCGGTCTTGACGACGGAGCCCGAGTTGGAGAGCGGATTGGTGACGCTCTTCCTGTTCTCGATCTTGCTGCCGCCGTCACCTCCCGCGCTGAGAGGGGAGGTGGGCATCGGGGCAGCCAAGCTGAGGCGCTTGGCCTTCAGCGTCTGGGCGGCCTTAGGGTCGCCCGCAAACGGCAGCGCCACCGCTCCGCCAATGCCCGAACCTGCACGCACCGTATGCCACCATCAGCTCCTCATGGACATCCCCATGGCCAAGAGCGTGTGGGGGATATCTAGAGGCATCTATCCGGTACCTTCTTTGTTTACGGCCGACTGTGAGCTGGATAGAGGGCTGGTGACACTCTTCCGGTTCTCCTTGGCGATGGCGGAACCGGGGCTGCCCAGCGGGTCGCTGAGGCTCTTGCGGTCCTCTTTGTTGGCTGAGGCGGCGGCGCTCAGCGGGGCTCCCGCGACCATTCCGGGAGCAGCCAGGCTGAGGCGCTTGGCCTTGAGGGTCTGCACAGCCTTCGGATCGCCAGCCAGGCTGGGGAGTGCCACGGCCGCGCCAAGATCATCGAGCCT